CATCTTTGAAACTAGCAATTATATTTTCAGGGAAATCTGAATAAAGCAAGCAAGGCTACAAGTATGTAGGAGAGACAGTAGGAAGAATGTGTGCTATTTGAACGAAATTTAATTTCAGACATAAGGCAGTTTCTAAATTTGAGTGCACTAACGAACCCACTGCCTAGGTTTGCCTTGTTAATTCTACAATAAATAGCCATGAAAAGACCCTGGAGGACGAAAATAAACGCACCGATCACCAATTAAATTGTTGACACTTCAAGAATCTAGGTCCGAAATTGGAACATCTAGTGAGGCAATCTGACTCAGGCAAACTTTTTTCTTTTTTAAACATAAATCCCTGTAATCTCCTTGTATCTGTGCAAAGGGGTGGAGTTAGGGGACCAATAAATGAGTCAGATCTGCCCAAGGTCTTGCCCTGACTCGCAGGGGAGAAACTTACTGTGACAAGCCTGGAACAAAGCTAGACGAAAGACACTTGAAGGGTAACAACAGAAAGCTATCAAGCAACAGGTCTCTCGTTGGGTCCAATACCTGGCCGCCTTCCCGTCAATAGGTCGAACGTTGGTGGATGTAGGACAAACCTACCGCAGCTACTGAGCATGCGGGAAATTCGGCGCAGGCGCAGAACACCTACTCCCACGACCGCCGGAGACTTCCGACCCGCCAGAAAACTCCATTTCTCCGTGTTTTCCCCTGAACTCTCTGGCGGCGTGTGTCGCCTACTGTAATAGCGAGAGGTGTGCCTACTTTTAAAAGATTCATTCTGGTTTCAGGGGTCTTCCAGTCCACTTTGCACACTCTTAAAATGTTTATTGGGCTAGTGCTATCGCACTGCGGTGGTCAGGGAGGGCCTACCCTCGAATCCCGGGGTCCGTGGACTGGCTTCCGGAGGTCTACGACCCCTCCGCCTCCGCTCCCAGGAGCAAAACGGTTTTATGCAGAATTGTCACTAGTGCTTACTTTTTTTTTTTAAGATTTTATTTATTTGACAAAGATACAGCGAGAGAGGGAACATAAGCAGGGGGAGTGGGAGAAACAGGCTTCCCACGGAGAAGGGAGCCCCATGGGGGGCTGGATCCCAGGATCCTGGGATCATGACCTGAGCTGAAGGCGCCTAAAGACTGAGCCACCCAGGCGCCCCCCACTTATGAGATTGTTAAAACGGTCTCTGACCTTTTCATATGCTTGCCAGTAAGTCCTGGGAAATACTCTCTTTTCCTGACCAGATAATGATTTGTTATGTTAATGATTTGGGGATTGGGTGGTGGTTGTTTTTTTGCTTTTTGCTGCACAGAAGAAAATCCCTTTAGGATTGTTATTGCACTGATAAAAGTAAATAAAAAAGCAGAAACAAATTGCCTTTTATTCATTTAGGCTTTCACCATATATTTAAGGAGCACACTTTTTGTGCCTCCCTTGTTTATGTTTGTGCGTGGAGGTAGATATGCAATGAAAATAGAGTGAATGGGCAATGCTTTTTTTTTCAGTATTAGAAAGGAGGGCAAGGTGATTATAATATCGCAAATAACGTAAGATGGCGGAGTTAATAGCAAACATCAGTTACAAAATAAATGTAAATTGCTTAAACACATCCTTTTAAAGACAGAAATTCTCCAATTGATTAGGAAATGAAACCCACTATATTATTAGAGTAGAAATTAGAGTAAGAAAAACTATCAAAGGGAACAGTCATTTTGTATTGTAAAAGGTATCCTTTATATTAATAAAGGTACTACTTTATTTTAAAATTAGATAAGTAGGGCGCCTGGGTGGCTCAGTTGGTTAAGCAACTGCCTTGGGCTCAGGTCATGATCCTGGAGTCCCGGGATCGAGTCCCGCATCGGGCTCCCTGCTCAGCGGGGAGTCTGATTCTCCCTCTGACCCTCTTCCGTCTCGTGCTCTCTCTCATTCTCTCTCTCTCTCTAATAAATAAATAAATTCTTTAAAAAAAATAAAATTAGATAAGTAGCCCACGACCACATTCTCATTGCTTAAAAGAAACAAAAATGCAAACGATATTCTCTGCCAGGTCTTTTCTTACAGCATGTGTCCTGGGATTGGAATTTTGCTTTATCTCTCCTGACAATGCAGAGCCATAATGCACCATCTCTAGTTTTGTAGTTTAGACACTTAGACACATCCTAACTCAGAATACTTACAATTTTTTATGATATTTTCCCCATTACTATACACTTGTTTTAGCTTCACCTAATTCAAAAGCAGTTGGTTTTGTGTTTTGGAGACTTGTCTTTACTGGACTCTAGGGAATTCTCCTTAGTTTTCATAAGGGCAATTACCTTTGCCTTAAAGGAGAAAAAAAAAAAACATTGGTTTTGGGAAGAGAGCAGTCAGTGAACCATTTTTGATTCTGCATGCTCTTTTGTAACTCCCAAACTTTTATAATTAGAAACAAATAATAACTTCCATTAAAAAAAAACAAACTCATCAGAGAGTAGCAAACGGCTACCATTACATGGAGTTCTTGGGAAAGCTTTTACCTTTACAATCTCATCTGATTTTCATAATCACCCTGAGACTCAAGGCAGACCATTTATTGTGGTAAAAATATATATAACAAAATTTACCATTTTAAGCTTACATTAGTTCTTATAATTAAATAAAGTAATTACATAACAATTACAACTGGCTTGAATAAGTTAAAGGATAGACATAACTGACTGTGAGTTCAACAGGAGAAAAGTGTGTAGGTGTCATGGAGAGTAGCCTGCTCTGAGGTCTGAGTGTACCCTCAGTACAGGATTTATGGGGAGATGGAGAGCACTGTTGAATTCAGCAATGTGTTATGTAGGGGTTGATTGGAAGGGCTTCTCTGTGCGTTTATTGTTGTGCTCCTGTGAGACTGAAGTTCACGGGATAGATTTTCAGATGCAGAACTGCAGGTTCAAAGTGAAATGCCTTTGAAATGGTGACAGATACTGCCATTCAAAAGGCAGTACAAATTATACATTACTACCAACAGTGTGAGACCACTTTCATATACCCTCCAATCCTTGTTATCAAACTTCTTAATTTTTGCTTTCATCTGTTGGATGGAAATGGTATCTTGTCTTAACTGCCTGTTCTTGATCACTCCTGAAGTTGAGTATCTTTGAGTATATTTGAGTAGGTTTATTGGTCTTTTCCATTGCACTATGAATTGCCTCTTCTACTCCTTTGACTTTTTTTCCATTGGGTTGTTTATATTTATTTTCCTGATTTGTAGCAGCTCTTTATACATTTTGGATATTATTATTTTTTTTTAAGTAGGCTCCATGCCCAGCATGGAGCCCAACGCAGGGCATGAACTCATGACCCTGGATCAAAACCTGAGCTGAGATCAAGAGTTGGATGCTTAACCAACTGAGCCACCCAGACGCCCCTGGATATTAATTTTTAAAATGTGTTTGCAAATGTTTTCTCCCACAGTATAGTGTACGGGAGGCAATATAGTGTGGTGATTATCCATATGGGTACTGGAACCCAAATGTCTGGATTTGAATCCCAGCTCTGCCACTTCTTAGTTGTGTGATCTTGGGCAAGTTACTGAACACTATGTGCCTCAGTTTCCTTATCTGTAAAATGGCAATAACCATATGCCTGCCTTACTGCAGAGGGTTGTTTTGGCATGTTATATCTTCACTTTATGGGGTTTAATGACTTAAATGGGCTAAGGAGCTGGGAACAGGGCCTGGTGAAAGGCTGACACTGAATGCTTACTGTTTGCAACTTGCCTTCTTTGTGGTATGTTTTTCCATATAAAATTTTCTTTTTATTTTTGTAGGAAATTGGTCAATCTTTTTATCTATGCAAGCCAAGTCTTCTAGATGTTGTGTCTCATGAATAGGAAGAGGTACACTTTACAATGAAAAGGTAACAATCGTGAACTACTATGACCTGGCCAACCAAATACAGATTTCCCCCGCTAGCTGAAAGTAGAGTGTTCCTATGAAAACTTTCATAAGCCTAAATGGAGTAAAGCAAAGAAGCAATACCATTAATTTACATGGAAAGATTTTTTAGCATTCCCAGATGCACAAAAATAACCTTTCTTAAGCTTTCCTGATACCTTAGGACACATCTTGCTAACAGATGCACAAAATAAATCGAGGTAGAGCACAGAGGCTCATGGACACAGTTCAAAGGGCTAGCAGCTGATGCTGAGATGCTGAGGTAGTTCCCAGGGCAGGAGCTTGGCAGGGCCACGCTGGTGGCTTGGGGTGCCTGCTGCCTCTATGAAGTCTTGCTGCAAAACTAATGCTTAATGCTATTTTCCCTTTTTTTAATAAAAGTGAAAATCTCTTTCGTTTTCTTTGTTATGGAAAACAGGTACTAATGTAATGAATGCTATTTTCACTTTTTTTCTGTAAAGGTGGCCTACCACAAACTTTCAAAAAGTGGGATAGAAAAGTGGGTGTCTGTCAGAAACCAGAGCTCGTCCTACACCCTATACACAGTATTCTGTAGGAGTGGGACGTAACAGGGATATAGGGAATCTGAAAATTACATAATTAGATTGGTTTATAATATTCGTACTGAACTTTGCACTCAGCTAAAGAGGTGCTGCCCCCTGAGGCAGTCATAGTCTGTGTGGTTGTTGAGCGCGTGGCAAATTACTAACCCAAACTGAGATGCTACGTGTGTAAAATGCATACCTGAATTTCAAAGATTCAGTACGAAGACAAAGAATGTAATATCTTTTTTATAATTTTATGTTAATTACAGGTTGAAGTGATAATACCTTGGATATACTAAAAACATCTTAAATATTTGTATATATTATATATACTGGATATACTAAAATATTTTAAAATGGAGTCAGGGCTCTGTGATTGAAATCTGAGCCCGGGCAGGCCCGCCACACCTTGCCCCGCCCCTCAGGGTCTGCCCGGCCCCGCCCCGGTTGCGGCCAAGACCCGGGGTGGCTGCCTTCCTGCGGTCTCTGGGAAGGACCTGCTTCCCGCCACTTCCGTGCCCCGCGCGCGTGCGCACTCCGGCAGAGCTCGTGGAGGTTCTCTGGGGTCCCGGTTTTCCAGAACCCCGGCGGGAGCCTCCCGCGGAGGACCTGGCGCTCACTGGGAGGCCGGGGTTGGCCGGCCATGCGTTGGGGGCTGCACCCGCGCGGGCCGGGGGCCGCCGCTGTGGCCGCAGCCCGGAATTTATGGATGCTGCCCCGCCTTCGTTGTCACCCGGGGTGGCGAGGGACGACGAGGAGGCTTTTGGTGCGGTCAGTCACCGGGGCCAGTAACCAGCTGCAGAGCTCGAATAATAGCAGATATCGGGACACGGTGCTGCTGCCGCAGACCAGCTTCCCCATGAAGCTGCTGGGCCGCCAGCAGCCCGACACGGAGCTGGAGATCCAGCAGGTGGGCAGGGAGGCCCGACCTGGCCTGGGGCGGAGGGGAGACGGGCCCTCTTCGGCCGCCGCTCCGGGCGGCTACACCCCTGGCGGGTGGGACCTGGCCGCAGGCTCCGGGCCCTTTTGGGCGGCGGTGTTATGGCTGGACCAGTGGAAATCATCTGCTCTCCTCAGAGTTTCTTGCTTGAAAACCTCTAGGTGAATCCCTCAGAGGTTCCAGAGCAGAGTATTAAGGGGGATGCTCACATAGCAGCACAGAACTGAATATGAGTCTCATTTTTTTTAGGCAAACAAAAAAATATTGAATTTGAACACTTTCCCAGTGACTTCTGAAAAGCAAATTAACGTGGACACATATAAATAAAAATTCGATTTTCTGGGAAAGTTGAAGCTTAACTTGTGTGGTGTCAGTAGGCGCCTAGTTGGAATTCTGACTTGTTTGCAGAATAGAGTACCTGTACTTCCTCAGAGTCCCCTTCCTAAGATCTGCGTCTGTCTCGTGTACTAGACTGAACTTTCTAAGGGCAGATTCACTTGTTAGCTTCTGTAATTTTGGAGGCTTTAAAATCCCTGATATTCAGCATGTATGGGTTAAGTAAATTTGCTTAGCCTAAATATTCTTATGGCAATTATCAGAGTTCTAGACTCAAACCTGTTTTGGCCATCTACTTTTTTAAAGTGTTTTATTCAGTACCATGGGTATGCCAGGAACTGTGACAATTTCAAACGTTTTCTCATGTATTTTTCACACCAGTTCTGTGAATTGGCTATTAAGATTTTTTTTTTTTTTCAAATAAGGGAACAAGCCCATAAGGGCAAAGTGACTGGGCCAGGGGTACACAGTAGGTGGGAGAAGGGAAGTAGGGCTGCAGTGAGTATTGTTGGGATTTGGTAGATAGCGAGTGTTGAGGCCAAAGGAGAGCAAGAATAAGTGTGTGTGGGGGGGGTGCTGGGATGTAATCTACAGGCCCTTCAGCCCCGCGGGAGTGAGGAGTGGATGGTGGGGAGTGCGGAGAGACTGGCCAGAATTTGGTGGTACTAATTTTTGTAGAGCCCTGTTTACGATACAAAGAACTTAAACTTCAATCTGAAGCGTATGGGGAAACTATTAATAAGTTTTAAAAGATGAGGACTCAGATGTGCATTTTAGAAGCCTCATCATTGGGTTTTAGAGTTGAATACATTGGTATGGGATAAGAAATAAGCAAATGCTGGCTGTTATTTATGGTAAGATTCAGGGGGTATATATTTGGTTGATGTTTAGACGTTATGGTTCTTTTTAAACAGAAATGTGCATTTTCAGAACTTTATTCATGGCAAAGAGAAAGAAAAGTAAAAACAGAATTTTGTCTTCATGATGGACCTCCTTATGCAAATGGTGACCCACATGTTGGACATACTTTGAATAAGGTAATTGTAATTTAATTTATAAAACTTGAGGGAAAAACCTTTATTTAAGTACACTTTACAAAGGAATGTATTCTAATTTTATGACAATTATGTAAATTTGCATTGATGGGTAAAACTAAATGTGTTTAAGTAGGCTCCATACCCAGGGTGGAGCCCAAGGAGGGGTTTGAACTCACAACCCTGAGATCAAGACCTGAGCTGAGATCAGGAGTCCAACAATCAACCAACTGAGCCACCCAGGCGCCCCAAAACGAAAATGTCTTTTTTTTTTTTAAAGATTTTTTTTTATTTATTTGACAGAGAGAGAGACAGTGAGAGAGGGAACACAAGCAGGGGGGAGAGGGAGAAGCAGGCCTCCCGCTGAGCAGGGAGCCCGATGCGGGGTTCGATCCCAGGACCCTGGTATCATGACCTGAGTCGAAGGCAGATGCTTAATGACTGAGCCATCCAGGCACCCCAAAACTAAAATGTGTTAGTAGAAAGCAGCAATAAACAGTTTTAGTGCTGTGTGAAAAATAACATCCCTGGTATTTGCTTTGAGCTTATTGTTATTTTACTCTAGTGAATATTTTTGTCAGTAAATAATTACTGAGCACCTACTACGTGCCAGACATTTTTTGAGACTCTGGGAATTGCAGTGAACAAAACAGAGATGAGTCTTGTCTTTATGGAGCTTATGCTCTGATCAGGAAAGACATAAGAAAACAAGTAAAATATATAAATGTTAGACTGAATGTAGAATGAATATTTGTTCTTCCCTACTCCTAAATTTGTATTTATTTATGTGTTTAAGCCTAATAATCTCTAATGTGATGGTACTTGGAGTTGGGAGCCTTCGGGAGGGGATTAAGTCATGAGGGCAGAGCCCTTATCAGTGATAATAGCACCTTCACAAAAGAGACCCCAGAGAGCTTCCTTGTCTCCCTTATGCTCTGTGAGAAGCTAATGGTCTGTGAACCTAGAAAGCAGCCCTCACCGGACTGAATCTGCCGGCGCCTTGACCTTGTCCATTTTCTACCTGGATTGTTCGGGTTTTTTTTATTGTTGTGTCTTGAGGGTTCTTTATGTATATAGCCTAGGTTTGAAACCTTTGTCAGATACGTGATTTGCAACTATTTCTTCCAGTCTGTTGCTTTCTTTTCATTCTCTTAACAGGATATGTTGAAGAGTAAAAGTTCTTAACTTTTTTTTTAAATAATCTCTACCCCTGGTGTGGGGCTCAAACTCATGACCCCAAGATCAAGGGTCGCATGTTCTTCCGACTGAGCCAGCCAGGTGCCCCTAAAAGTTCTTAATTTTGATGAAGTCCAGTTTATCAGTTTTTCCTTTTATGAATCATAACTTGCAGCGTAATGTCTAAGAACTCTGCGAAGCCTTTAAGCCTAAAGATTTTCTGCTATATTTTTTCTAAAACTTATATTTTACATTTAAATCCATGACACATTTTGAGTTAACTTTTACGTAAGATATGAGACTTACACTGAGGGTTATTTTTTTCCCTGTGGATGTCTAGCACCATTTGTTGAAAAGGCTATCTTTCCCTAATGAGTTGCTTTTGTACTACTGTCAAAAATCAGTTGGACAAATATGTGTGGCTCTATTTCTGGATTCTCTATTCGGTTCCATTAATCTATGTGTCTGTCCTGGTAATACCACAGTTTTGGTGACTGTAGCTACAGAATAAGTCTTGAAATTGGGTAGTCTCCTTCTTCCCATTGTATTTTCAAAATCGCTTTAGCAATGTCAGTTTCTTTGCTTTTCCAGATAAATTTTAGAATAACTTTTTGACTTCAGTATCAGAGAAGATCTCCCTGAGGAAGTGTCATTAAGCCGAGTTTTGAGAGTGCTAGCAGGTACCAGGTCATTTATGTGGGGTAGATAATAAATAGCACCAGTCTGCAATTTTTTGAGAGAACTGATTTTAGCCCTCTCCCATTTTATTGAGACGGGAAGTGACGTATAACATTGTATTAGTTTTAAGGTATACAACACAATGATTTGATATATGTATGTATTGGTAAATGAATACCACAATTAGTTAACATCCGTAAACATAATTTTACTGCTCCCTTTGACTTGGATGCCTTTTATTTCTTTTTTTTGCCCATTTGCTCTGGCAGGACCTCCAATACTATGTTGAATAGGAGTGGTGAGAGTGGGCACCCTTGTATTATTCATGATCTTAGAGGAAAAGCTTTCAACTTAACTGCTGAGTATGATGGTATCTGTGGCTTATCATTTATGGTCTTTATTATGTTGAGGTACCTTCCTTTTATACCCGCTTTGTTAAGATCTTTTATCATGGAATGATGTTGCATTTTGTCAGATGCTTTTTCTGCTTCTATTGAGATGATGATATGATTTCTATTTTTCCTTCAATTAACTCAGTGTATCAGTTTTTTTGTGTATGTTTATCCATTCTTGAATACCAGGGATAAATCCCATTTGCTTATAATGTGTCTTCCTTTTCGTTTTTTAAAGATTTTATTTATTTATATGACAGAGAGAGACAGTGAGAGAGGAAACACAAGCAGGGGAAGTGGGGAGAGGGAGAAGCAGGCTTCCCACTGAGCAGGGATCCCAACGCGGGGCTCAATCCCAGGACACTGGCATCATGACCTGAGCTGCGTCTGAGCCACCCAGGCGCCTCGTGTCTTCCTTTTTAAAGTACTGTTGAATTCGGTTTGATAACATTTTGTTGAGAACTTTTGCATCTTTTTTCATCAGAGATTTTGGACTATAGTTTTCTTGTCATGTCCTTATCTGACCTCGGTATCATGATAATGCTGGCCTCATAGAATGAGTTTGGGAGTATTCTCACCTCCTCAGTTTTTTGGATGTTTGTCATTCATTCTTCTATAAATGTTGGTGGAATGAGTGAAGCCATATGGTCTTGGACTTTGCTTTGTTGGGAGGTTTTTAATTACTGATTCCATCTCCTTACTTGTTACTGATCTGTTCAGATTTTCTATTTTTTCATGATTCAGTCCTGGGAGGCCAGCCTACCTGGGTTATCCAATTTCTTGGCACATAATTGTTCTTAGTAGTCTCTTATGATTCTTTGTATTTTTCAAATATAGGTTGTAATATCTCCTCTTTGGTTTATAATTTTATTTATTTGAGTGCTTTCTCTTCTTGTAAGTCTAGCTAAAGTTTTTCAATTTTATCTTTTCTAAAAACCAAACTTAGTTTTGTTTTCCTATTCTCTATTTCATTTATTTCTGTTCTGATGTTATTTACTTCTTTCTGCTAGCTTTGGGCTTAGTTTGTTCTTCTCTAGTTCCTTCAGGTATAAAGTTAGTTAGTCTGGGAATCTTTCTTGCTTTTTAATGTAGGCGCTTATTGCTTATAAACTTCCCTCCCAGAATTGCCTTTGTTCCATCCCCTAAGGTTTGGTATGTTGTGTTTCCATTTTTGTTTGTTCGATATATTTTTTTTATCTCTCTCTCTTTTTTTTTTAATATATTTATGTGACAGAGAGAGACACAGCGAGAGAGGAAACACAAGAAGGGGGAGTGGGAGAGGGAGAAGCAGGCTTCCCGCGGAGCAGGGAGCCTGATGCGGGGCTCGATCCCAGGACCCTGAGATCATGACCTGAGCCGAAGGCAGACGCTTAACGACTGAGCCACCCAGGCACCCCTATTTTTTTTTATCTCTTATTTGACCCATTGGTTTTTCAGAAATATGTTATTTTCCACATATTTGTGAATTTTCCAGTTTTCTTCCTATTATTGTTTTCTAATATCATCTGGTATGAAAAGATACTTTTTGTGTTCCTAATCTTTCCACATTGTTAAGACTTGTTTTGTAGAACATCCTGGACGGTGTTCTGTGTGTGCTTGAGGACGGTGTTCTGTGTGTGCTTGAGAAGAATGTGTATTGTCCTGCTGTTGGGTGGAGTGTTCCATATATGTCTGTTAGGTCCATTTGGTCTCAAGTATAGTTCAAGTCCAATGTGTCTTTACTGATTTTCTGTCTGTATGACTGACCTTTCATTGTTGAAAATGGGGTATTGAAGTCCTCTACTATTATCGTATTCTTGTCTGTTTTTCTCTTCAGATCTATTAGTAGTTACTTAATACATTCAGGTGCTCTGATGTTGGATGCATATATTTTTAAGACTGTTACATCCTTTTAATCCTCCTGATGAATTGACTGTTTTATCATTATGATGACCATGTCTCTTGTTATAGTTTTTGACTTAAAATCTGTTTTGTCTAAGATAAGTATAGCTACATCTTTCTCTTTGGGTTTCCATTTGTGTGGAATCTCTTTTTCCATCCCTTCACCTGATCCCTACATGTATCCTTAAATCTTACATGAGTCTCTTAGAGGCAGCACAGTTGGGTCTTGTGTTTCAGCCATTTCTGCATCTATTGATTGGTGATGTAATCCATTTACATTTACAGTAATTACTGGTAGGCAAGAGTTATTAATGCCAACTTACTATTTTCTGTTTGTTCCTTTCTTTCTTTTTTGTTTTGTTCTTTTTGTTGTTGTTGTTCCTTTCTTTCTGTCTTCCTTTGTGAACTAATGATTTTTCTTCACAGTGGTATGCTTTGATTACCTTCTCTATATCTTTTATGCATTTACTGAAGGTTTTTATTTTGTGATTACTGATAAAATTTGGAAGTTTTTGAGTTCATGAGAGAATGGCTAAGAAAGAATTCTTGAGACATTTTTGATGCAAAAAGGGGACTTTATTATAGCCCGGGGACAGGACCCGTGGGCAGAAAGAACTGCAGTGGGGTTGTGAGGAGTAGCTGATTATATACTTTATAATTAGTGGGGGTTAAGGATAGTGTAAGTCTCTAAGGAATTTGGAAGCAAGGCTTTCAGGACCTTGAGGGGCTAGCTGCTGTTAAGGTTATTTTTAGTCTTTAATAAAACATAAACATTAAGGCGTAAGGCAGCCATGAGTTCCTTGAGGAAGGTCATGCTCTGCGTGTTTCAGGTATCAGTGGGCTGCAAGCTGTAAGATTTATTTATTTAAAGATTTT